CCAGCCATGGGCCAGCAGATGGCATGGTTGTTAAGGTGCTAGACTCCCACATGGTTGACCGTGGTTCAAGGCCCTGGGCCTGGCAACTTGCTTTCTCACTTTCCCTCTCTATCTCTCTGTCTGTCTCTGGTGAGCGCATGTACCCTATAGCAAATTAAAAAATAATAATCATAAATAAAAGTAAGTAAATAATAAAAAGAAAGAAAGACCCAGCCATTGGAGGCCACACTTCCAATCTAACCCCTTTGTCTGTGTCTTGCAGGGTGACATGGGCTTGCCTGGGCTCTCCGGGAATCCAGGACCTCTGGGACGAAAGGTACACCCTGCTTTTGCTGCTTTGCCTTGCCCAGCGTATCTCCCGGCAAGCTGGTCATTAGGCAGGAGAACTGGGGGCCGCCTGCCACTCCCCAGCCCAGCCCAGCGCCCATGGGCCCAGGGCACATGGTGAGAGGTAAAGGAGTTTTCTAGGGTGTCCTTGTTAGGGGCAGAGAGTACCTTGGCTTGAATTCGGTTCCCCAGGGTGGTTAATTAGTGTGACAAGAAGTGTCCTGTTTGCTGTGCTTCCCTTGGAGCCTGGTCACTCTGGTGAAGCCATTCTTAAGAATGCATGTGGTGATGGAAGAGCTCTGTCCACAGATCTGACGTACGCGTGTGTGTGTGTCGGTCGCCCACGAGCTGAGTGGCCTTGGGTCTGTGCATCCAGCCTCTGACCTTCCAATGGGCAATAAGAGAGCGATCCCGCTCACTGACCCCCACCAGGTGGGGCTGGCTCCCCACCCAGAAGCACGGCGTGGAGCAGAGGAGTTGAAGGAGTGGGCTCTGGGATCTGCAGGATCTGGGTCCTGGTCCCAGCTCTGTTTCCAGCTCGGGTGCTGCAGGTGGGGTGTTCTGCAAGGCAGGTTGTTCCCTGTACATGCCCAGGCACTGTCGCCCTGTCCCTGCCTGCTCCTCAGTCGTGCCAGGGAGGCTACCTCTCCAAACACCTGTGTTGTCTGGAGAGGAGGGCCTGCCATTTTCCTAGATAGGGAGCCCTAGCTTACAAGGCCCCTGGATTCTTCTCTGACGTCTCTAGCCAGGGTCTGCCATCTTTCAAGACTCCACTCTAGTGTTCCTACTCCAGGAAGCCCTCCTGGAGCACCCAGCCTTTAGGCCATGAGCCCCACTCTGCTCAAGGACACTTAGCATATCGTAACTCAGTCCTCTGCAGCCCTGAGTCTGGCCTCACCAACCGGAGCATGCAGGTCTGGTTTGTTGCTGTCCTGCTGGGCTTAGCAGGGGGTGTACCCATAGCAGGTGTTCAGGAAACAGGAGGAGGACAACGCAGGCTGAGAGCCAGTAGCGGCGTGCAGGAGAGTCTCCACTGCTGATGGACTGCTCAGCAGACACATCGGCCCAGGGCCGTGTCTCCAGCTTCCGCCCTGGCTCCCAGCTGGGGCCACAGCTGCCCTCTCTCTGGGCCATCTGGTTCTCATCTGGACAGCTGCGGGACCTCCTGGCTCCATGCTGTCCTTGCTCCATGGGTCCCTGTGGCATAGGGGGCTTGGAAAATTCAGTTCCCTTCCTTTCCCCTCCACCCTCCATGGCTGGAACTGGCCACACTTCTCATCTAACCGTCCAGGCCCTGACCGAGGCCGTGGCTGTCTGCAAACTGGGAAACGTGATGTTTTCTGGCTCCGAGAACACCAAGGGACTCCTTCTCCCTGTTCACTTCCCCTCTGGACTCCAGCGCTCTCTGATGGATGAGGTGTGAGCGGAAAAGCCTCCTTCTAGTCCGGCTCATAAAGCAGCCTGTGGTGGTCTCACTCGGCATGGGGGTGGCCGTCTAGCAGAGGTGGCGGCTGATGGGAAAAACAGACTTGGACCAACTCCTGCCTGGGGTTCCAAAGCTTCGTGTGCTCAGCAGATGTCCAGGGAGACAAGGGGCCCTACCAAAGGATCTGGCTCACCTGGGCAGGAGTGGCATCTTCTCTAAATGAAGCAAGGGCCTCTGTGTGGTTGGAAAATATTTGGCAAAGCCTACTCTGAGGTCATGTCGGCCCTGGCCCCAGCATGGGGGAGTAACACAGGGTGCTGGGAAGAGCAGGAGGCAGCTCGGGTCCTGAGGCAGGACCCCAAGGTCAGAGAAGAGGACCTATGGGGTGGTCCACCTGCCTGGAATCATACCATGACCCGTCTCTTCTCCCACAAGTGTCTGTGACAACTTCAGCCACCCTTCTCGGTCATCTCATGTGGCTTTTCTGCATCCTCTTTCGTGGGAGGCTTGGGGCTGAAGGTACATAGTGGGTGAGAGGTGAGGTCAGCTTCCCCCTTGCCTGGCAGCATATTGAATTAGTGTCACTCTGAGGTGATACCAATAATCTCCTTCATTCATTTATGAAACAAGGATTCTTCTTCTTTTTTTTTTTTTTTGCTATAGAGTACGTACACTCACACACGAGGCAAACAGACGGGTGAGACAGACAGACAGAAATCATCCGCCTCCCCAGGGGATGGCCACACAACACTCCCTTCTCCTTTATTCTCCTCTTGAGACTTCGGGCATGCATGAGTTTTAAGCACTCAAACCGTGATGGGCCACGTGGGAGTCCATGTCTTAACCACCATGCCACCTGCTGGCCCCAATGCCGCAAGAATTCTTGAGTGCTTACGGTGTGCCAGGCATTGAGCTAAACAAGTAGAACAAAGGTCCCTGGGTTCGCATCCTAGAAGGGGGATCTGGCCGTGGAAAATACAAGGTATGTTAGAAGATGAACAGGGTTGGGGCCAGTGAGTGGCATGGAGGTTAAGGTGCTAGACTCCCATGTGGCCAACCACAGTTCAAGTCCCAGACCCAACAGCCCAAAATCATGAGAAGAGAAGGGATTGTGGTGAGCACATCCCCCCTGGGAAGGTGATTTCTGTTTCTCATTTTCTCTCTCTCTCTAGTGAGAACATGCACCTTGTGCCCTGTGGCAGAAACCTAAAAAAAAAAAAAGAAGGAAAGGGCTAGGGAGGAAAATAAGCAGGAAAGGGAGTCTGGGCTGGGAGGTTCCAGGCTTAAATCACATGACAAATTAGAGGCAGCAGAAAGGGCCTCTGACCCTCGTCTCATGGCTTCCTCACAATGGCTGCCAGAGTTAGGCAGAATTATGCCCATTTTACAGCTGGGAAAACTGAGGCCCACATAGGTCTCATTAATTTACTCATTTATTCATCCTGCCAGTCATTCAGCAAGTGTGTACCTATGTGCCAGACCCTGTGCTGACCCTGGTGCTAAATGACAAATGAGGTCATCGAGGGCTTCATGGAGGAAGCAGTCTATAGCAGTGGCTCCCAACCCTGCCATGAATTAGAACCAGCAGGGAGCACGGGCCCCACCACCAGATTCTCAGTCAGTTGGTCTGAGAGGGGTCCCCAGGCATCAGTAGCTCTAGAAACCTCCGGGAGATTGTCTTGTGCAGCCATGACTGAGAGCCACAGTTGAATGGAGATACCTTCCATGGGTCACTGAGCAGCCAGGCTGAGATTTGAACTCGGGTCCTCTGACCCTCAGGCCCTTTCGCTCCCCACAAGACTGACTGAAACAGCTTCTCAAGCCAGAGAGGGCCCGTCCAGCGAAAAGAGGCTCCCCACCTGAGAAGATCGATTTCTCTGCCACGATCCATGAGGAGTCCCAGCCCTGTCCCTCTCCTGCTGAGCTTGGGCCAGTCGGCTCACCTTGCTGGGCCTCAGCTGCCTCACGCAGTGGTCGGAAGGGTTAAGTGAGTGCCCCAGCTGTAGCACCCAGCACGGGGCTGGCACATGGAGGCACTTCCTCCATATTTGCTGCATGAACGAGGGAATGAATGGGTGATAATAGTCATGACGGAGAAGCAGCAGCAGGTCTTGCCCACCTGGTACCCTCAGTCCCCTTGCTGGTTACCCATCAACCACCTTCTCCGAGCTGAGGGGGCTTTCCGGTCTGACCCTCCTGCCTTTTCTCCTGCAGACCAGTGGCTCTCAGTGGGGGGATTCTGCCCCCCGGGGAACAGTCAGCAGTGGCCGACGTTTGTGTTCGTTACCACGGGCTGGTGGGAGAGCTGCTAGCTTCCAATGGGCAGAAGCCAGAGATGCCGTTGGGCATCTTGCATTGCTCAGGGCAGAGCCCCTACCCACAACAAAGCATATCCCGGGCCAGCCAGATGGCATGGTTGTAAGGTGACTGGATCCCACATGGCTAACTCTGAGGTTTGGATCCTAGACTCGTTGGCTTGAAAAACACACTGGGCGTACGTGCGTGTGTGCATGGGTACCCAGAATTCCGAGAGAAGAGTGGGCGAGGCATTACAGTGTGGCCATCCCCCCTGGAGGGTGTTCTCACATTCTCACATTTTTTCTCTCTGTCTCCGGCTGGTGCATACGTCCTATAGCAAAACAAAACAAACAAACAAAAAAA